GCTTTGGGAGCAAGATTGACAATCCAAATGTCCCTGGTACCTTCAATCCTCTACTTGGGCGTGCTAAGATTGATGGCAATTGTGAGTGACAAGAAACTTACAAGGTTTATATTCTTTGAATTAATGACATCAAAGATGGCTCTGATGAAATATTTAAACATGTTCCTAGTGTATAGAATAATGTTTTTTCTTGTCAAATTACAGCACTGGAATCTCATGATTATGTGATGAAAGTTGTTCCAACCATCTATGAGAGTTCTAGTGGAAACCAAGTCATTGCTTACCAGTACACTTATGCCTACAGGGTAAGGAAACTATTTTTTTGGAAGAAATATGTGTGTATATGCATGTATGTTTTTTCATTATGAGATTAATCTTTGTAATTCCGAGTACTTCATGATTGTAGTTGTCTTTGTATTTCTTCATTTCAGAGTTATGTTTCATTCAGCCATGGTGGTCGTGTGGTACCTGCTGTGTGGTTTAGATATGACTTAACACCAATTACTGTTAAATATCATTTCAAGAGACCACCCTTCTATTCATTTATTACCACTGTGAGTATTATGTTTTGGCTTATTCTTAGTGTAGGCAAAAGTAATGTATAATTTTTGTCTTTATTTACTTTTTTTCTGATATGAATTTAAAGAAAATAAATTTAGTACTCACATAGTTTACATAACAGTTTTTACATTATACTTAATATTTCCTTTCAGGTCTGTGCGATTGTCGGTGGTACATTCACTGTTGCTGGTATCATTGACTCATTTATCTTCACTGCTGCTGAGATTTTCAAAAAAATTGAAATAGGAAAGCAGAGCTGAATATCCAAATATTAAGATAGTTTTGCAGGGAAGGATTGCCACTCCCTCTTATGTGAAAAACGATCTTCCTCTTAATTTGTTTCACTTCTTAACATGTATGGCTTCCTCCTGTTTATTCTCATATGTCTGTGATTCTTTGTTACTGTTGAAGGTTTGCAAAAGATTTTTAGTGTGTTCAAATTTGACCAGGGTTGGGAACTTCGGGTTTTTTTCTTGGTTAATCATTCAGTTTTCCAGGATTCAGGTCTTGCATTTCATTCTTCCTCCTACAGGGCTTTGATTCCTTTTGATTTCAATGTGGAAATGCGTGTTTTAGGGGGGTCGTGATCCTATTGCTTTAAAGCTCGTATGTTCAGCCCCCCCCAAAAAAAAGAAAAGAAAAAAAATTAAAGATTTTGATTCAAAACAATTGATCCGCTTCAGTGGTCAGTACAATTGTGAAGCGCACCAAAAATGATTCTCTCAATAATTTTATCATTGCAGTTAAACAAATTGTATTGTGTGGATGGCTCATATTTATAGTAGAAAAGTGAATGATTGTTTTTATATATATATATAATTGTTGTATCTTTGTTACAATTTGTGAGAAATTGTTTATATTTTAAAAGTGGAAGTAATTTTTGGCTGTTTAATTTCAGTGAGTTGGACAGAGGCTCATCATATGTACATATGATATAATTTTATCCTTAGATAGCTAGTACACAAACTGAATCAGACAGAAGGTCACCTTTTGTGTTGCAGTTAACCAATTATAGCTAATGATATTATGAAAAAAAATACTAGTATGAGAATCAATCTAATTGTCTTGTGACATCTGAGACTATTACTATTACCTCAATTTATATATCTGGCCTAATGCTTAAAATTAAATTGGTATTAAGTGATAAGCTAATTTAATACAACTTATTTAGTCCAGATTTTATATTAACGACTTAATGATCTTGAAAATGATAATACTAGTACTACTTATTCGATGTTCTTATTTTATATTATCAATTAAGAATGTACTATCAAATCCCAGAAGTATTCTTTTCTGAGGAAACATTCCACAAGTGATTTATAATCTGTGGTAAGGTTACAGATACGACAGACACTTGGCAATTTTTTTTCCCCCCCCTACGTAAAATTCAATTATGCATGTTGGAATGCCATCAGTGTAAAGCTGTATTTTTATACTTATCATTCTGAGCATTCTGTTTTAATAAAAAATTGAATTCTACTTTTGATTTTATTGTATCAACCTTTATACATGGTTCTGCTGCAAATCTAGATGAATGGTCATACCTATTCATGTGACTACAAACTGAAATAATATTGAATCTTACATCATCTTCAACATTCACATAAAACCCTAAAATTTATTTCCATTACTTTGGGCATAGTGATTTTATTTTACTTTGCTCAGCCTACTTCAAATCATCAAAAATATGTGCTGATGATTTTGCCTTATTTACTATAAAAAGAAATGTATTGTACATATTACTACTAATTTGTCAAAATGTGTCCTGTAGTATTTGAGAATGCTTGTCAACACTTAATTTAATTTGGGAAGTAGTTTTGACAGAAATCCCCTTTAACTCAATGTCAGCAGGTTTATTTACTGTCCCCTTTAGATTTTAATGAGTTTTGTCACATACAGATGGCTCCACGTGTGCTCAGCAGCAAGGAGTCTATCAGTTGGCTTTAATGACCAATCCTGATTTTCCCATTCCTTGAGTTGGCGGGGAAATGTGTTTTTCTTTCCAAGGCTACTAATATTGACATTGTTATCATTCTTGTTGTTATTATGATTATTGATTTGTTATTAAAATATTAATAGCATCAATGACAATAAAATAATAGAAGTGAAGCTTTAAAAAAATGAAGGAAAGGGGTAAACAGATGAGATGAGTAAGACTAACAGCTGGTGACTAAGCACTTGTAGAGCCATCTGTTTGTAAAGACAATAGATGAACTTGTTACAGTGGGCATGGTATTGTAGTCTTGCCACCTGCTGACATTGGGTTAAAGTGTGCTTTGTTACTGAACCATATGTGAAAAAAACTAGAAAAATACAGGAATCCTTGATGACATCACAGTAAGTGATTGACCAATGCGACTATTGTGCCAGACTTAGAATTGACTGATATTTGTTTTATTGACACTGACAGATGTAGTTCAAGAGTGTTGAGGCACAGGATAGCAAGCTCAGGGTGAAATCCTATCAATTTGAGCCATAAATTTTTAACCCAATTTCGTAAGGTTTATGTACTGTCCCTTGTAGTTTTTTGTGAAATTTGTCACATACAGATGGCTCCACATGTGCTCAGCCACCAAAGAGTCTGTCAGTAGGCCCTAGTAACCTTGTCTGATTTCCCCATTTCTTGAATTTGCAGGAAAATGTGTTTTTCTTTCTAATATTACTAATATTGATATTGTTGTTACTCTTATTGATCTTATGATTATTAAATTATTATAATATTAATAACATTAAAGACAATAAAACAACACAAATGAAGTTTTCAACAAATCAAGAAAAATGGTAAATAGGGTACAATAGGTAGGACTAATAACTGACTCCTTGGTGAATAAGCACTTGTAGAGTCATCTATGTGTAAAGACAAAGGATGAACATGTATTCTTACCATCCAAGCCAACTGGGTTAATAACCCAGCAATGATGAGGAGCTATTGAAGCCTGTGGTTCCCATTATGTAACAAAGGGGGGGGGGAATAGTAAAGGTGGAAAATTTAGCACTGGATACATAGGAACAAGTATGCTGTCAATGTTGTAACTTAATGTGTATCACGCATATATTGTACTTCATTTGATATTACTCACTCACTGCAGGGCAAGAGGAGGAAAATTAAGTATCACAGCATTATTGCTGTGTCAAGAATAAGACTTTCCTAAAAGGAAATGAGATGCAAATAAAACTATATTTATACAAACAACCTTTATTGGCAGGGCATCTATTTCAGAAGTCCATGTGGTCTTCTGTTGAACATTCCTACTTACAATGAGACTAGTGCATTACACTTTAAACAGTGCTAAAATGACTGCAATAATTATTTTCTGGTCTTCCAATATAAGATGCAAATAAAATGGACACAAACAATCATCAATTTTATGCAGTCACGAGTGTGGGTTACACCACAAACTAGAAAACGTATAAGTCAACATGAAACAATATAGAAAAAAAATAAATATTCATAATTCTATGAGAGATCTAACAATATTATTCAACACTTCAATATTTTATCAACAAAATTGGCAGTTCACATTTACGGATAGCCTGTCATATTTCTGGTATAAAATTATTATTATCAATAAAACCATAAATAAACTAAACAACATTTAAGATGAGTATTTCACCATACTGCAACTCATAAAATTATAATTCACTTGTGCCTAAAAAATATACAATTTTTTCAACTCAGTGGAGTGCATGTTTTAAAAGTTTATTCCAGATTACCCAACAGCCCAAACAACCACTAAAAAAAATAGAAAGTAGTAATCACATCTACAACTCAAATTACTGGCTCTTCATTGATGCAAGTTTCCGGCTTCTTGCTCGATTCTCTGTGCGGGCGTGTGTGTATTCAAACCACAAGATGTTTGGAATTAAGGAAGTATCCCGAATCATCAATGTTTCACATACTTTCCTGAAAAGCAAAACCGATTAGAAGAAAGTGATGGAAAACACTTCTAACAATATGACAATTTGATATCAGAATCAGACAAAAAAATATACTGCATTAAAGTAAAGTATATTAGTATTTACCATGAAGCGACTATGGGGAAAAGTGGTGTCAGCATCAGATGTGTAAGAGTAAACCAGCCAAAACCCAGGATAATTCCCACCAATGCTCCCCACAGTACTTGTCCCCATGTGTGGTACAACAGATAAACTCTGCAAAACAACAAAGAAAATTAGACAAAAAAATATTAAGCCATATGCATACTGATTAACAACTCGGCAGATCCTTCAACTTAATGAGGTTTCCTCTGAAATGAATTTGTTTCATCCATGAAAAAATTGCATGCTTTTTTTTATTAATATGTTTACAGCTTTACTTTCATGTTTGGCATCACCAATGGTGGTGTCCATTAGTTAATGGGCTGTGTGTTTGTCCTGTCCATCACTGCCCTCAAGACAAACAAATATACAAAGATAATGGATACATGAGAAATGGATGCATCTGATTGACATATACAAAATACACTGTACCCTAGTTTTGTCCTATCATGAGCTCTTAACCCATTGGATCTTGGTGCCTTGCTGCCCAAATGTGGCCCAAAATCCGGGCATTAGGCTTACTTGAGTAGCAACTTCCATTTTCCAAGGTCTATTTTTGTCATATAATATGCTGTATGCTCTATTTTCCTTGCACGGGCCATTTCATCTCTAGGTTGTCTACAACCCGGTGTAACAGCAATAACAATAAGTAACATTTTATCATTTATATATATATATATTTTTTTTAAATTCTTGTATTATTCAATTTTCTGTAATACACCCTGGTAATAAGGTATAAGGTACGCCTGGAATAGGCTTCTATTTTACTGTGATAAAATATAACTTTCAGTGAAGACAATGAATCATGAAACATCCTATGAGTTTCCAAGATAAGTACTTCATACAAATGAACAAATACAGAAAGAACAGAATCCTATGGAAATACTAATACCACTCAACATTCTATGGGTATTTTTTTCACTGAATCTCCCCAAATATTAGCATGTAGCTTTGTGATATCTGTATTTTGGGTCATTAGCTTTATACATGTTTGTCATACCATGAATAGTTTAGGATACAGCGTCTATAAAAATACAAATGAAAGCAATAAGACATCAAAGAAACAATTAAACCACTGTTGTTATTATTATTATTATTATTATTATTATTATATATATATATATATATATATATATATATATAAAATACAACTGCATTCCAACTACTTGCCCTACTACTAGTACAATTAACCCCCATTGGATCCAGATGATGTGACTGCTACGTCATGAAAAAATTGACAGAAGGGTAAGGGATGAGAGTATACCATCATTGAAAAATTGGTTTGCAGTCCAGGCTGACAGAAATGTGTCTTAAATGAAAATTCAGCTTAGACTAGACTGATAAGAATGATCTGTAAAGAGTGCACAAAGCTCTTGGAGGAAGTTTAGACTCAGTGGGAATTTAGAACTGCATTATTTCAACCATAAATGTGGGGAGAATGTACCATCAGTGAGCCATGGCTGGAAGAGTGCTGGCTCCATTAAGAACATTATTTCTATACTCAGGATCCTATTCCTGCCCTGCACAGGGTATGCTACAGAAAACTGAATAATATAAAAATATTTTAAAATGTCACAAATAACACACTTTTACTTATTGTTAGTGAACAAAGTTGTAGACTACACAAAAAAATAATATGGAGTGTGTTTAATGAAAACAGTCTATTACCATCTTGATACAGCATAGCAAATGACAAATATGGACTTTGGAAAATGGCAAAAAGGCAAAAAATGCTTTTGCAGAAAAAGAGATTACATTGCAAAGGGGAGGCAAAGAGTCTTGATATCGCAAATACCTACAAGCTACACACAAGGGAGAGTCACTGCTCAAAAGGGTCCTTCCCCCTCTCTGAATCTAAAATTCAAGGACTTTTCCAGGACTTTTACAGGTCCAAAAAATATTTTTCAAAGATGTATTTTAAACAAAACATGACACCTAGTTTTTAAGAGGTATACAAAACAGGTAAAAATGGATGACACTAGCTATAAGTAGATTTCTCAAACAATTTTTCATAAACTTTATACTTATTTCCAATACTATGCAATAAACTTTCATCAGTACTTGTCTTCAAGCACTCAACTGAAATAGATGGTACAACCAGAGCAACACTGAATATAATAGTCCAAAGAAGTGTATGACAAAACAAATTACTCAAATCTCGGTAGCTACTGTATAACATGAAGCCCAATGTAAATTTCCATGAATTTTCCAAAATTTCCTTTTGAAAAAAAAAAGGTTTTTCTAGGTTTTCCAGACCTGGAAAAAGAAAATGGTGGAATTCCAGGTTTTCCAGGAATTCCAAGTGGCGGAAGGACCCTGCTCAAGTAAGCCTAATGTCTGGTTTTAGTTTCACAGGTTACTTGGATCCAGGGGGTTAGTAGTGAATACCATAATATTACTCTCATTTCAACACATTACAGGTTGAATCTTACTAATACAGC